CCCCCCCCCCCCCCAACCCTAACTTAATCTGATCCTAATTTATTCGATGACACTAATCAGACTCGATACGACTTTCACACAAGTCTCGAAATTCACTTTGCGAGTACCCGCACGTCCCTAATTTTAAGCGTTCATGACTTTTGAGATAACGTTTCTGACCGAAGCTGATACCGCATTTCTGACAAGTATACGGTTTCTCTTCGGAGTGGACACGTTTGTGTCTGGTTAAGTCGTTCTTTACGCCAAAACCCTTACCGCATACGTCGCACATATGATTCTTCTCACCTGTGTGCACTGTCAGATGACCCAGCATTTGTTGTCTCCAACGGAACTTTTTCGCGCAATAAGTACATTTGTGCGGGAATTCGTCTGTATGAATCTTACTGTGTATATAGAGGGATGCTTTGGTCTTGAACGTCTTGCCACACGTATGGCACACGTACGGACGTTCACCAGTATGGATACGTCGGTGGTCCTCCATGGCAGTCTTCATGGCAAAGCTGCGACCACATATATCACAGGTGTGATTCTTCACGCCGTCATGCACGTGTTTCAGATGATAATATAGACTACCACCCTGAACAAATTGCTTCCCACAGATGTGGCACGTGTACGATTTCTCACCCGAGTGTGTACGTACGTGAGCCCAGTGATTTTTGCGCGAACGGAACTTCTTATCACAAAATTTGCAAACTATCGACGAACTGATGCACACAACTTTTTTGGATTTGGGTTGTTTGACGTTTCTTTCTAGATATTCATTGGACTCGTTTACTTCCGCTATAAGATTCTGTCGCGTAGCCTCTTTCGATGTTGTCCCTTTCGCGCAATTTGTTCGTGTCTGACTAGTAGAATTAGAAGCCTCATATTTTATACTCTTCTTCTTATTGTCATTTGTCAAGTTATCTGAGGAGGACATTGTAGATGATATATTTGTGGAAGACGAACATTTGGTTAATGTATCGTTATCGATATTATCTGCAGGAGAAAAAATATTTTTTGAATTTTCATCAATTACATTAGACGTTTTAGTTTGGATTGGATTGATTTTATTTCTTCGTTTTCCCTTCTTGCATACTCGTTGACAACTATGGGCGATTTTCCGATCGTGTGTGATGACTTCATTTTTTAATCTGTAAAAATAAAAAAGTATTTTTGTTAACCATTTTTGTTAACAAGTTCATATTTTTATTATCATATTATTATTTTGTATATATTATATATATATATATACTTACATATAGTCGGTATTTATAATTTTAACAAATTGTCATAGAAATGAGTTTATATCACGGTATAATTTTTATTCTTTTGTCAAAAATTCGTAACATTGATATTTGCACTGAATATTTTAACGTTGAAAACTTTGCGTCAAATCCATAAAACATAAAGTGGATGGAAATGAAGTACAAGCATTCTGATCATTGTGGGTTTTGAAAGTGCATAAAGTACATCCGTTCTACAGTTTGCACATGACTTATATTATATAATTATAAAGTTTGTGAAAAGAAAAATTTATTTGTAGACAATGTGCGTT